ATTGGGGGTGACACTGGGGGATGATACTGGGGGTGACACTGGGGGATGATATTGGGGGACGACACTGGGGGATGACACTGGGGGGGTGACACTGGGGGGATGATATTGGGGGTGACACTGGGGGATGATACTGGGGGTGACACTGGGGGATGATATTGGGGGACGACACTGGGGGATGACACTGGGGGGGTGACACTGGGGGGATGATATTGGGGGTGACACTGGGGGATGATACTGGGGGTGACACTGGGGGATGATATTGGGGGACGACACTGGGGGATGACACTGGGGGGGTGACACTGGGGGGATGATATTGGGGGTGACACTGGGGGATGATACTGGGGGTGACACTGGGGGATGATATTGGGGGACGACACTGGGGGATGACACTGGGGGGGTGACACTGGGGGGATGATATTGGGGGTGACACTGGGGGATGATACTGGGGGTGACACTGGGGGATGATATTGGGGGACGACACTGGGGGATGACACTGGGGGGGTGACACTGGGGGGATGATATTGGGGGTGACACTGGGGGATGATACTGGGGGTGACACTGGGGGATGATATTGGGGGACGACACTGGGGGATGACACTGGGGGGGTGACACTGGGGGGATGATATTGGGGGTGACACTGGGGGATGATACTGGGGGTGACACTGGGGGATGATATTGGGGGACGACACTGGGGGATGACACTGGGGGGGTGACACTGGGGGGATGATATTGGGGGTGACACTGGGGGATGATACTGGGGGTGACACTGGGGGATGATATTGGGGGACGACACTGGGGGATGACACTGGGGGGGTGACACTGGGGGGATGATATTGGGGGTGACACTGGGGGATGATACTGGGGGTGACACTGGGGGATGATATTGGGGGACGACACTGGGGGATGACACTGGGGGGGTGACACTGGGGGGATGATATTGGGGGTGACACTGGGGGATGATACTGGGGGTGACACTGGGGGATGATATTGGGGGACGACACTGGGGGATGACACTGGGGGGGTGACACTGGGGGGATGATATTGGGGGTGACACTGGGGGATGATACTGGGGGTGACACTGGGGGATGATATTGGGGGACGACACTGGGGGATGACACTGGGGGGGTGACACTGGGGGGATGATATTGGGGGTGACACTGGGGGATGATACTGGGGGTGACACTGGGGGATGATATTGGGGGACGACACTGGGGGATGACACTGGGGGGGTGACACTGGGGGGATGATATTGGGGGTGACACTGGGGGATGATACTGGGGGTGACACTGGGGGATGATATTGGGGGACGACACTGGGGGATGACACTGGGGGGGTGACACTGGGGGGATGATATTGGGGGTGACACTGGGGGATGATACTGGGGGTGACACTGGGGGATGATATTGGGGGACGACACTGGGGGATGACACTGGGGGGGTGACACTGGGGGGATGATATTGGGGGTGACACTGGGGGATGATACTGGGGGTGACACTGGGGGATGATATTGGGGGACGACACTGGGGGATGACACTGGGGGGGTGACACTGGGGGGATGATATTGGGGGTGACACTGGGGGATGATACTGGGGGTGACACTGGGGGATGATATTGGGGGACGACACTGGGGGATGACACTGGGGGGGTGACACTGGGGGGATGATATTGGGGGTGACACTGGGGGATGATACTGGGGGTGACACTGGGGGATGATATTGGGGGACGACACTGGGGGATGACACTGGGGGGGTGACACTGGGGGGATGATATTGGGGGTGACACTGGGGGATGATACTGGGGGTGACACTGGGGGATGATATTGGGGGACGACACTGGGGGATGACACTGGGGGGGTGACACTGGGGGGATGATATTGGGGGTGACACTGGGGGATGATACTGGGGGTGACACTGGGGGATGATATTGGGGGACGACACTGGGGGATGACACTGGGGGGGTGACACTGGGGGGATGATATTGGGGGTGACACTGGGGGATGATACTGGGGGTGACACTGGGGGATGATATTGGGGGACGACACTGGGGGATGACACTGGGGGGGTGACACTGGGGGGATGATATTGGGGGTGACACTGGGGGATGATACTGGGGGTGACACTGGGGGATGATATTGGGGGACGACACTGGGGGATGACACTGGGGGGGTGACACTGGGGGGATGATATTGGGGGTGACACTGGGGGATGATACTGGGGGTGACACTGGGGGATGATATTGGGGGACGACACTGGGGGATGACACTGGGGGGGTGACACTGGGGGGATGATATTGGGGGTGACACTGGGGGATGATACTGGGGGTGACACTGGGGGATGATATTGGGGGACGACACTGGGGGATGACACTGGGGGGGTGACACTGGGGGGATGATATTGGGGGTGACACTGGGGGATGATACTGGGGGTGACACTGGGGGATGATATTGGGGGACGACACTGGGGGATGACACTGGGGGGGTGACACTGGGGGGATGATATTGGGGGTGACACTGGGGGATGATACTGGGGGTGACACTGGGGGATGATATTGGGGGACGACACTGGGGGATGACACTGGGGGGGTGACACTGGGGGGATGATATTGGGGGTGACACTGGGGGATGATACTGGGGGTGACACTGGGGGATGATATTGGGGGACGACACTGGGGGATGCTGCCTGCTCCCCGAAGGCCTGTCCTCACTGGGGGCTGGTCTCCTGGGAGAGCAAAGCTGCAGCAGCAAGTCTCCTGTGGGCACCTCACAAACTGACCAGAACATCAGGACCAAGAAACGTCCAGGCCCGTCCACCCAGAGCCCAGCACCGCCCGCCGCGGAGGCCTCGGCCAGGGCACCGGGCCCACCCCAGGGAGGAAGCCCACTGTTGGCCTTGGTCCCGGAGGCGGCCGAGGCTGACTTTCACTCGGGGCGGGTGCCTGACGGAACCCCCTGAATTCCGCGTCCCCCGCAAGAGAGAAGATGCGCCCCTCAAAGCAGGGTGATGTTCATCGGGTCTCAGGAGACCCCGCAGGCCACACGGGGGGCTCCGTGCCCCACGCCTGCCGCGCTCACAGCCAACTGGGTACATCTCAGCTCCGCTGCAGAAGAGACGGATTCACCCGTTTGCTGGCAGAGCAAGTGGACTCTGGTCAGAGCAGGAATGACCTGTGAAGGCCCAGCCGCTCCCAGGGTTCAACAGGGAGGGGAAACCAGGCCGGGGCGAGGGGCCGGGGCCCGCGGGGGACGGGCCTGGTCAGAACGGGAGCCCGGACGAGCCGACCCTGGAGGAGGCCACAGCGGGAGCGAGGTACGGGCCAGACACACTCCTGGAAGTGGTCCCTGCCGGCGAGTGGGACGCAGGGGCAGGGGCAGGTTACAGTCCAGGAAAGGCCGGAGGTCATTTCAGGGCAAGACAGAGCTGCCACAGCTTCTGTCCAGCTGTCCCTGGCTGAGCACCGACCGACCGCGGGGCTCACTGTGCGGGTGCTGGGGGTGTGGGATGAGCGGCGCCTGCCCTGGGGAGGAGACAGGCGGGCAGATGACCCGGTGACCTTCCGTGCTCTCAGTGATCGCGGTGGCGGTGGGGCCACCGCTTAGAGAGGTCAGGACACGGGTGGAGGAAGGGCGCAGAGCCCACAGGGACACTGGCTTTGCCACTGGAGGGCTCTGAGAGCTGGGCTGACCTTCGTTCAGAAGGATGTGCCGTGTGCCGCGGGATGGGGAAGACAGCGGTGATGGAGAAGGCCCAGAGTCGGGGCACCTGGTGCCAGAGGAGAGGGTCAGAGGGGGCTCAGGGGCTCCGAGGAAGGATCCCGGGGCTCACAGGAGCCTGTGCACCAAAGGTTCCCACCGTGATCCAGAAAAGCCTGTGGGCATGAGCCACAGCCCCGAGGACCAAGGTAACTTTCAGACAGAGTCCCTCCCGTACAAGGACCAACCGCCAGGGTGACCCCGATCTCCAGCAACGCTCGAAGGCTGAAGACAAGTCTGGGCACAGAAAATGGAGCCGAGACCCTTCCCAGCCGTGTCCCCCAGGAGAAAACACCTTTAAACCTAGATCCCTCCCCCAAGAAATAAAGTTCTTTGCAAATATAAAAGCCGACCTTAAATCCAGCCACTGAGGCTGTAGCCACCACCGACCCTGAGGGCCCAGCGCCGTGAGCTGGGGGCTGGCGCGGGGGCCTCCGGGGTGCAGGGGGCCCAGAGGGCACACCGGACGCAGGACGGCCAGCTCCTCCCTGCTCAAAGCCAGCCAGCCAGTGCTGCTCAAACCGAGGGACACCCATCCCTTTGTGGTTTTGTGATTTCTAAAAAGAACCCTAAGAGAGTCTTTTCAACTTGGGGGTAAAGAAGCATCCATCTCATTTCATCAACCATGTTTTCCTTAAAGGTAATTTTTTAATTTGGAAGGAGCACCCCGACCCCTGCTCTGTGTCTCCGTGAGTCCCCCCAACGCTGCCCAGGCCTCTAGAAACATCTGAGTGGCCTTCACCGAGCCTCAGCAGTGGTTATCTCGGTGATGAAATTGTGGGCAACGGTTTTAACTTTCTTGTTGGTTGTTGAACAGTGAGTGTTCTTGCAAAGCCAAAGAAGTAATTTTTCCCAGTGGGGGCCATGAGGGGCAGTGGCTGCTCAGCGGGCCGAGGGGCTCCCCTTTCTGCTTGGGTGTCTAGAACGGCCACGGACCCTTGCTCCACACAAGCCTGACTCACGGACAGATGGGCACCAGGGGGACCATGTGGTCAGCTGGGAGCCAGCACCCGGGAGACTGTCCTGCCACCGGAGCCAGCCCAGTGGCCACTCCCGGGGGTGTCCCTGTGAGGCCCAGGGCGGCGCACTGCTCCTCGAGACGGGCAGACGCCCGCCCGGTGGGAAAGCAGAATGAACAGTTTAGAAGGGACGTATGGTGATAGCAAAGCAGGGTCCGCGGTCAGCGCTGGCCGGGTGACACCTAACCAGACTGATGCCGCCTGCCCTGTCTGCGGGGGGGCCCTGCTCTCACCCAGGCTCCCCGGGGCTCCCAGCAGGGGCACTGTTGACATTCGGGGTCTGATCATCTTGGTTGTGGGGCGTCCTGTGCTCTGTGGGATGTCCAGCAGCACACCTGCCCTCTGCCCGCTCGGTGCCAGGAGCCCCTGTGGAAGGCAGGCCCGTCCCCCGAAGATGCCCACGTCTTCACCCAAACCTGCGGCTGTGTTGGGCCACATGGCCGGGGGACACCGGCCTGGGGGACCCAGAGGGCCCCATAATCACAGGGTCCCCGAAAGGAGGAGGGGGCAGAAGAAGACGTGAGGATGGAAGGAGGTCAGAGGACACCACGCTGCTGGCCTGGGAGACGGAGGAAGAGGCCGGAGCGGAGGGATGTGGACACCTGCAGCAGCTGGGAGGCCAGGGGTGGACGGTCCTGGAGCCTCCAGAAAGGAAGGCAGCCCTGCCCCCAGCGCAGCCCGTGAGGCCTTCCCAGGCTCCTGCAGCTGCGGTCGGAGGCTTAGGACCCTGGCCTGCGATGACCGCCAGCATCCAGTGTGACCGCTGATTGGCCTCCAGGCGCCGCCCCAGCACCCGGTGACCCGCCAGCACCCAGTGTGACCGCTGATTGGCCTCCAGGCGCCGCCCCAGCACCCGGTGACCCGCCAGCACCCAGTGTGACCGCTGATTGGCCTCCAGGCGCCGCCCCAGCACCCGGTGACCCGCCAGCACCCAGTGTGACCGCTGATTGGCCTCCAGGCGCCGCCCCAGCACCCGGTGACCCGCCAGCACCCAGTGTGACCGCTGATTGGCCTCCAGGCGCCGCCCCAGCACCCGGTGACCCGCCAGCACCCAGTGTGACCGCTGATTGGCCTCCAGGCGCCGCCCCAGCACCCGGTGACCCGCCAGCACCCAGTGTGACCGCTGATTGGCCTCCAGGCGCCGCCCCAGCACCCGGTGACCCGCCAGCACCCAGTGTGACCGCTGATTGGCCTCCAGGCGCCGCCCCAGCACCCGGTGACCCGCCAGCACCCAGTGTGACCGCTGATTGGCCTCCAGGCGCCGCCCCAGCACCCGGTGACCCGCCAGCACCCAGTGTGACCGCTGATTGGCCTCCAGGCGCCGCCCCAGCACCCGGTGACCCGCCAGCACCCAGTGTGACCGCTGATTGGCCTCCAGGCGCCGCCCCAGCACCCGGTGACCCGCCAGCACCCAGTGTGACCGCTGATTGGCCTCCAGGCGCCGCCCCAGCACCCGGTGACCCGCCAGCACCCAGTGTGACCGCTGATTGGCCTCCAGGCGCCGCCCCAGCACCCGGTGACCCGCCAGCACCCAGTGTGACCGCTGATTGGCCTCCAGGCGCCGCCCCAGCACCCGGTGACCCGCCAGCACCCAGTGTGACCGCTGATTGGCCTCCAGGCGCCGCCCCAGCACCCGGTGACCCGCCAGCACCCAGTGTGACCGCTGATTGGCCTCCAGGCGCCGCCCCAGCACCCGGTGACCCGCCAGCACCCAGTGTGACCGCTGATTGGCCTCCAGGCGCCGCCCCAGCACCCGGTGACCCGCCAGCACCCAGTGTGACCGCTGATTGGCCTCCAGGCGCCGCCCCAGCACCCGGTGACCCGCCAGCACCCAGTGTGACCGCTGATTGGCCTCCAGGCGCCGCCCCAGCACCCGGTGACCCGCCAGCACCCAGTGTGACCGCTGATTGGCCTCCAGGCGCCGCCCCAGCACCCGGTGACCCGCCAGCACCCAGTGTGACCGCTGATTGGCCTCCAGGCGCCGCCCCAGCACCCGGTGACCCGCCAGCACCCAGTGTGACCGCTGATTGGCCTCCAGGCGCCGCCCCAGCACCCGGTGACCCGCCAGCACCCAGTGTGACCGCTGATTGGCCTCCAGGCGCCGCCCCAGCACCCGGTGACCCGCCAGNAGGGGTGCAGAGCGCGCCCAGGGCGGGCCGGGAAGCGGGATCCGCCCACGGGCTCCGGGCAGCCCTGCGCGGGCCGGCACCACTCACCTCTGCGCAGCGGAACCGAACCGAACCGGGCCGACCACCCGCGGATGGACAGTCTGAGGCCCGAGCCGCGGCGTGCAGACGGCTCGCCCCCCCTTGTTTTCCCGGGTTGGGGTCTCCACGGAGGAGAGGACGTGGCGAGGGCCTTCGCGCGCAGGGGCGCTTTCCGGCTAGGATGTGGTGACCCCGCCCGCGGGCTCGCGGGTGGCTTCCCGCGCGGAAAGGCTGGAGTCCTGGTCGGCGCACACGCCCGGGCTGCGCGCTAGGCAGCTGATGGACTCTCATCACTGAGGTCTCTCTCTCCCCCTCTCCCTTCCTCTCTCTGAAGCCAATAAAGACATATTTAAAAATGTTTATTGATTTCAGAGAAAGGGAGAGAGAGAAACACCGATGGGCTGCCTCCTGCGCGCCCCCACTGGGAGCTGAGCCTGCAGCCTGCCCGGGAATCACACCGTGGTCTCCTGGATCCTAGGTCGCCAGGCCAGGCGGGCTTGGTTCACCTACTTCCTTTGCCCTTTTCTTGAAAGGTATTTTGCCGGGCACAGGACTCCAGGGTGATGGCTTATGCTCAGCACACACCTGTCATTCTACCCGCCAAGCTTCCTGTCACGGTCGCTCCTTTGAAGGGTCCCCACTTAGATGCTTTTAGGATCTTCGCTTCGTCTTCGGGGTCCCGCAGTGTGGCTCCCATGGTTCTAGGTATGGACGCCTTTCACTTCTTCCGCTCGGCGTCGGGTGGCCGGTCACTAGCATCTCACCGGCTGCCTTAGCCAGCCTCCAAGATGGCACGCACACAGCCTTGGCTCGCCCCTCACGTCCACGCTCGGGTCTTCACTAAACAGCGTGGACCCCGGGCATTGAGGAGTGATGGTGTGACCCCACAGCTGCCGTAAGACACACAGCTTCCTCCCTGCTCTCCGCTGCATCGCTGGCTCTGGGGGAAGGCGCCTCCATGAAGGGAGGAGCCGAGGCCTCCTGTTCACGTCTGGCACTGACGTGCCAGCCCCGGGAGTGGGGCAGAGCCTCCCGCCTCATCCGAGCTTCCAGGCGACTGTCGCTGTGACTGACGTCTTGACTATAATCTCGTGAGAGGCCCCAAGCCAAAGCCACCCCGCTAAGCAGCTCCCAGGTCCCTCGTGTACAGAAAAGGGGGCAAAAGTATCTGATTGTTTTAAGCGGCTGAGTCTTGGGGACGTTTGTTTTGCAGCAATAAACACTACACTGCGGCCCTGGCCAGTTGGCTCCGTGGTTAGAGGGTCGGTCTGTGGACGAGGGTCCTGGCTTCAGTTCCAGCCAAGGGCAGGCACCTGGGTGGCAGGCTCGGTGCCCGGTCGGGGCGAGTTCGGGAGGCAGCCCATCGATGTCTCTACCCCCCCCTTCCTCTCTCTCTGGAAAACAATGGAAAAAATATCCTCAGGTAAAGATTAAAAAACTAAAAATAAAAAAATATATACATACATATGCTGCAGGGACACTTCGTACACTCAGGGTAAAATTTTCAAGATTCGTGAAGAGTTTGTTTTAAAAATTAGGATTGCACTGAGTTAGCTGCTTGGGGGAAACCTGGCAGGTTTAAAGCATTAAATCTTCCTGAGTGGGGCCAGCACCCCGCTGCCCGGGCAGCCCCGCTTCAGGGCTCCGCAGACAGGCTCCTGTCGAAACCTGCCGCTGACGTGAATGGACCCTTTTTTCCGTTACATTTCAGGCTATCTGTAGTGTATTGAAAAACCATTAAGTTTCGGGTGGTGATTATAAATCCAACGTTCCTCTTCTACCACTGGCGTCTGTTTTATTGGCTTCTGCGCAGTTTCCAGGGGGACAGTACTGAGCAGCCAGCGCAGCCACCTGGCCTTTCTCCGCAGGTGTTGAGAGCTCCGTTCATGTCCCTGATTTCTGCCAGGCTGTCGCATCGTCATGGTGACGCTCTGCTCCCCGCCTGCGCTGAATCTGCGAGAAACGCTCCGGGAGATCCACGCAGAAACGTCCACCCTGTTAAGACTCAACAGAGGGGGAAAGGGAGGGGTGGCGGGGGCAGAGGAGGGAAAAGGAAGACATCTGCAACAGTGTCAACCATAAAAATAATTGGTTTTTTAAAAAATGAAAGACAACAGGTCTTTGGTTCTGTTTTTAAGGGGAAAACTGGAACATATTAACACTACTCGTCACCCTCGAGGCCCTCGTGTGGTCCTCCTCCAGTTACGCAGAGCGTTTTGTAAGTTCCCAAGCCCCTTCCTCCTTGGGACAGTTTTCGTGGGTTTATATGCACCTTCGCTTATTCAGCACAGTCCCTGAGTAGGGCCTGTGTGCGGGGCACCCTCCGGGCCCTGGGGACGGGCTGTGACGCTGACAGAGCCCTGAGGGACTGGGGGGAGGGGCAGCCTGCCGCCAGGGCCTCTGTGCCAGGGTCAGCTCAGCCGCGGTCCCCTCCCCCCTCCCCCTCTGGGCAGCGCAGGCCTAGGGGCGAGGACTGACCTCCCAATTGGCCAGCAGTGCGGCCCACACTATTCACCCAGGGAGGCTCTGGGGCCGCCCCAGAACCTCCTTTGTGCCTGGCCGGTAGCCCAGTTGGTCGGAGCATCCTCCCAATACACCTGCTGCTGGTTCCATCCCAGGTCAGGGCGCATACAAGCAGCAGCCAG